ATTGTGAAGTAGAAGTGCTAGAACTTCCATGGAGTATGGTGAAGGAATAGATCAAAAGTTTCAAAGAAGTTGGCACACCGGACTGCATATACTATATAAGGCTGGAAATGCACCCGTTGAATATGTTCCATGGGAGGGCCTGAAGGACACTCCAAGTGTCATACCGATAAGGAATACCCTGGTGAAAGTTGGATTAGCTTAGTCATGACAGTTCTCTGTAGATCAAGGCTGATGATAGGAGAGGCTAATATAGAATTGGGCTTCCTAATAGCCCGATTATATCCCCAAACAGCAAAGGTTCATTGGTGGCACTCAAACCCTCGGAAGCAAGGTAGTTGCAATTATTGTAATGAAGCAAGGTGGCCATAGATACCACATTATGTGGCAAAATCCAAGGGTCTTTGGGTTGGGCTGGAGAGGAAATTTAACCTCCAAAGAGGTATGGAGATATTAATGGGAACTTGGTGTTTTCAGAGGCAAGTTAGGGGACAGTTAGGCAAAGGGGATAGGATACTTCTTAGTTTACACAAGCAAAAGGTATCAAGGATGGATGATAGGAAGAGATGAGGGAAACCTCTCAAGTTAAAATTCTTGTCACTTTGTCAAGTTTCCAAACTTGAGTCAGTTCTCAGAACCAGAACATTGAGGGCAGAAAGAGATGCTGGTTTCCTATGAAAAGGGATCCTGCAATTGTATTCAGTTGAAATTCCTCTAGTCCTTCTCCCAGGGACTACAGCTATTTACTAAGTGACATGCATTTGGTAAAAGGAAATACCCAAAGTCTTCAATATGCCGAAATAGCCTTCCTGTTAGAGTTGAATCTAGGGATCAATTTGGGGAGTGTTGCCATACAGTGGTGCTGTATGCGCCAGGAAATAAATGAAATTCTGGAATCCTTGGTCTGGCTCACAGTGGGTCACCAGGGTTCAAGGACACAGCTGATGGTCATTTGCTGGTAAAAAATTGAAATTGACATGCTTGTTATTTGGCAGAAACCCTTGGATTTAGTATTTGTTCCTTAATCTGTGGAGTAAGAAATATAGTAGTGAAAGCGGGATGGAAGTCTCTGCAACTTTCACGCAAGCCAAGAGTAAATAAAACAATAATATTGCAACGTGGGGAAAATAGTAAATATTAGTGCTACCTTCAAAGAGGTAAAGAATACAAGGGTGATGATCTGTGACAAATCCCCATTTAATTCAATAGAATGTCCCATACAAAAATGGAATGAATTGAGACCAAATGATGCACTACTGCAAAGCAAGTAGTGGACCCAAACGCAGCTGCTATGCCGGACATGATTTTACTAAAGCGGATTAATATAGGCTCCAACACATATTAAGTGGCCGTTGATCCGGTGAGTGCATTATTTTCCATCCCTATAGGAAAAGAGGACCGGACACAGTTCATATTTACGTGAGATGGACAAGAGTATACAAATATGGTCTTGTCTCAGGTTATATTAACACTTTGACTCTCTGTTATATTGCTAGAAGGGGTATGAAGTGTCTGACATTCCACAGGGCATCAAATTGGCCCATTACATTGACAGTGTCACGCTAATCAAACCAGATGAGAAAGAAGTAGCAAGTATGTTGGAAGCCTTGGCAAAACGGATGTGCTCTAGAGGGTGGAGATTAAAGCTTCAGAACCCCAGTACATTAATGAACTATTTAAGGATCCGAAGTCGTGAAGAAAGCTAGACCATCCTCGTCAAATTAAACAACAAAATATTATATCTATCTTACACCTCCCACTACTAGGAAAGCATAAATTTTAGTAGCCTTTTCAAGTTCTAGAGGGAGCATATTCTGCACCTGGCAATACTGCTGACCCGTTTACTGGGTAACACTAAAGCCTGTGGACTTTGAGCAGTGTCTCAAGCAGGAAAGCTCAGCAGGACAAGGCTGTGCAGTGGTCTTGACGCTTGAGTCATATGACCCAGGAGACCCTGTAGGACTAACAGCATCTATGGCGGGCGAAGATAGTGTGTAGAGTTTATGGGAAGCTCCAATAGAAGCATCACAATGTGGGCCTGTGGGGTTCTGAAGAAAGTCCCTACCATCTACAACAGAGGACTGTCACCATGAGAAAACGGTTACTGATGTGCTGCTTGGCTTTGGTAAATACAGAGCTTCTGACTACGAGATACCAACGACCTTGTGGCAAGAGTATCCATCATGAGCTGGGTTCCGTCAAAGCCACCAAGTCATAAGGTGGGGCTAGTCCTGCAGCAATCCATTCTAAGATGGATATGGTACATCCAAGATTGGGAAATATCAAAGCTGGAGAGCACAAGTAAGCCAATCAAGCAGGTGGCCCAGAGTCAAATGCCATCCATCAGTGTTGCATTAGTGTGTCTCCGATAGCTCACATCTGTGACCTACTGGGAGGCCTTTATGACCAGATAAGAGAGAAGTAAAAAGCCCAACCTTTATTTCTAGTGTGGTGGTGATGGATAGTGATGAGGGCATATCCTCTCAGTGGGAAGAATGTTGATGTTAGATGCAACTAGTCATCAACTCTGGGTAGAAACAGAAGTGGCCTGAAATAAAACCATAGATAAACTCATGGGCAGTAGTGAATGGCATGGTTGGTTGATCAAGGGCCTGAAAGGAGAAAGATTGGAAAATCGAAGACAAAGAGGCCTAGTAAAAAGGCACGTGGATGAAAGTGGACAGGAAGTGTGAAGGCCTTTGAACTGCATGTTAACATTCAGCAGAGAACTTCTACTGTGGAAGAGGCACTGAACAGTTAGAATGAGCTGGTCAGCTGGTGAAAGCCAGCATCTGTCATTAGTCACTGTGATGCTGGCACAATGGATGCGTGAACTAAATAGTCCTGGGAACAAGTATGGAGGCTATGTGTGGTTTCCCATGCCGATCTGATTACTGCTGCTGTTGAATGGTCCTTGGAGGCAGCTGAGAACTTTGAACAAACGCTTTAGAGTACTGATTATTCTCACCTTTTTACTATGTTAGCTTTTGGAGGCATTTGTGTGCCCACAAATAGTGTTGAGACTGATAGGTTTTTCTGTAGGCCAATCTGACTCTGCAGTAAAACAATTTTCTCAGGTGCTCCCAGTAAGATCATTAAAAAAAATTATTTTTCTTTCACAGGAGGCAACGAGAGCAGGAATGCATCTTGATAGCAAAAGCAAGAACGTATAGGCTGAAGAGGAGTCATTAAGAATAAAGGGCATAGTAAGACTACGTTTGAAAATGATATGCCCTTGTAAATAGAAAATTTTAAGGAATCCTCCAAAAAAATTTAGAACGTATTAGTTCAGCAAGGTTTCAGGATATAAGATCAATATATGGAAATCAATTGTAGTTCTATACACAAACAATGAAAAATCCAGAAATGAAATTAAGGAAATAATCCCATTTATAATAGTATCAAAAAGGATAAAATATTTAGGAATTAATTTAGCAGAAGTCTGAGAATTTAAGACCAAAAAACTACAAAATATCATCAGAAGAAATTAAAGATTTAAATGGAAAGACATGCCATCTTTATAAATCAGAAGATTTAATATTGTTAAGATGGCAATACTCTACAAATCGATTTACAGATTCATCACAATCCCTATCAAATTTCAGCCACATTTTTTGCAGAAAATGACAAGCTGAACTTCAAAAACCACAGAATAGTAATAACATCTTGACAAAGAAAAAGTTGGAGGTCATACATTTCCTGATTTCCAAACTGACTACAAAGCTAGGCTAATAAATACAGTGTGGTAACCGGCATTAAGATAGACATACAGAGCAATCGAATGGAATTGAAGGTTTAGAAATCAAGCCATACATTTATGATCAATAAATTTTCAACACATGTGCTAAGACAATTCCAGGGGGGACAAATCTTTTCAACACACGTTGGGACAAGTGGATATACACATACCAAAGAATGAAGTTGGACCCCCTTCTCAAACTACATACAAAAATTAACTCAAAATGGATCAGAGGTCTAAATGTAATAGCTACTACTGAAAGACTCTTAGAAGAAAACATAGCGGTAAATCTATGTGACCTTAGATTAGGCAATGGAGTTTTAGATATGACACTGAAGCAACGAAAGAAAAGAATAGATAAATTGGACTTCATCAACATTTTAAACTTTGTGCTTCAAAGGAACACTTTCAAGAAAGTGAAAAGAAAATCATACATATTATATGATTCCATTTATATGAAATGCTCAGAATAGGCAAATCTATAGAAACAGAAAAGAGATTAGTGATTGCCAAGGACTGGGGGTCAGGGAGGAATGCAGAGTGATGGCTAATGGATAAAGGATTTCTTTCTTGGGTCAGGCAAATGTTCTGGAATTAGAGAGTGGTGATTGATGCACAACTTTTTGAATAAGAACTACTGAACTGTACACTTTAGAGGGGTGAACTTTATGGTTTGTGTATTATATCTCAATAAAATTCTTATTTGAAAATGAAAAGAATGAAGGGCAGGAGGGTGGATCTGGAATGTGAACATTAGGCTGACTCATCACTGTGTCTAGGAATATGTACCTAGGCTCATTCTGCCCCCATTTCTTAGAACATTCCCCCACCTTTCTGCCTATCCATGTCTTCTACTTCTACTATAACTGGAATAGAAACTCTGCCTCCCTCATGTCTGTATCTAAAAATGTTATGGTAGTACTATACCCTGGTTCCCCATCAAGGAATTCAACTAGGAATTGCCTGCAATCCAGTACTTGCTAGTAGTGCGCTTAAGATGCGCTCTTTGAAAGAGACAGTCTAATGGGCATGTTAACTAGCCATTCTCTCTGATACTCCAAGCTCTATCACTCTAATAAGTTACAGCATCAGAAACAATGTACCTGGGCCATGTGACCTAGGCAGGCACAGGCATTTTGGTGATGAGTGATGTTATTATATTCTCTGCTTTTTAGAGGATCTATATAAGAAATATCTGTTTGAATGTCTTATCTATGTCTGCCACAGAACTGTAATTGAAGACCTTTTCTATTATATTACCCAGTGACCCTGATACAATGGCCCAGATGATAAACTTCTCTGTTTCCAGGAAGAAGTCTGCTTTTGCAAGTGAGTAATATATTTCTTTTTCCTTTCCTTTCCTTCCCTTCCCTTCCCTTTCCCCCAAACATAGAAACTATCTAATGTAATATCTACTGTGAGCTTGCTCTACCCTTTATATGCTTTACCTTATTTTACCATCACAACATCCTATGATATCCACACAGTTATTGTGCCCCTTTTACAGATGTGCAAACTGAGGCTGAAAGAGATGAAATGACATATCCCGCCCCTCACAATTGTAAATGACAGAGATGGGATTTGAACCAAAGCAGCCTGACTCCAGAAAGTATGCTAAGTCCAGCTTCTGCATTCACTTAGCTGTATAGCCTCTCCCAAGTTTTATTCTACAAGTCATCTGCAAAATTTTCAATTTAAGGGAGTGTACATACTAAATACTGTTTTTTTTTTTCCCCACACCTCCTATCTGAAAATGCTTGATAAATAACATTGATTGATTCATTCCTCCAAGTTTGAGATCCTTGGAAGAATGACCTTACATAAATTCTGGTGGCTGTTTTTATTAATGCTGTAAGGGTAGTAATCGCACAGGCTGGAAGAGAGGAGGACAGAATTGAAAACAGAAATAATTCATTCTATTTCTTAGATTAGGTGCCTAGAGGTGGCACGGTACCTTAGCAGTCTGAAGTTTGGGGCCTCTGGGTGCTTGCACATTGCTGCTGCGGATTTAATCATCTCGTCTGACGTATGTTTCTGTAGAGTGACAAGTACTCCCTGTCCCACTTATGAACAGATTTACTCTGATGGGCTTGGGGGGAAAAGCCCTTTTCTCAGCCAGCATGATTCAGCTGGTCTGTGGGGCTGCTTACCTGTAAACACATTCACAAGCAAGCTAGCTCTCAGCCCACAGAATTTTGATTTAGTTAAGTTTCCTTTTTTCTTTCTCTCCTCTCTCCTCTCTTTGCTTAGACTATTGGTATATATAGGTCAGGCACCTGCCTCCTAACTGGTTGAGAGATTAAAGACTAGGGGAGCACCAAGATTTTCATAAGTCAGGTTTGCACCTCCTGGCCAGACATCACTGACCTTTTGTTTCCTTAGCCCCTGTGCTTCCTAGGAGCCTCCTTTTTTTTTTTTTTTTTTTTTTTTAAGAGTCCTGAGAACTGCAGGAAGATAATAACAGGCATACTCTCTAAGAGTTTGCCCCTTCAAGTACGGTCTTCAGACCAGCAGCAGCAGCATTGCCAGGGAGCTTCTTAGAAGTGCAGAAAATCTGGGCTCCCACAGACATGCTGAATTCAAATTGCAGGTGAATCATACACACATTAAAGTTGGGAAGCCTTGATTATAGAACACTTCACCCTCCAGGGGAGGAAGCATCTCCTCTAGCAAACAGATCTCCCATGGCAGTGCCTTGTGTCTTGGACTGCATAACAAGGTGCTGACACGGGGCTCAGGAGCTACAAATAAGGGCACCAGCCAGATGTAGTGTGTGCCTTCAGTGGGGCTCTGCTACTGTCATTGCTCTCTTCTGCCCTCCGAGAAGGGAGGCACGTGTTACATGTTAAATCTTTCCCTCATAAATATGTAAATCATATGGAGACCTGGAGTATTGCTTCCATAGTTATTAGAAGGTTCACAACAAATGTCACCAGTGTCTCTTCCAGGGAGTGATTTGCTCCCTTTCTGTGCTCTCCGTCAAGACTTTGCCCATCTCTAGTAGAGAATGCACCACTCTGCTTTGTTTATGCATCCTCATCCCTCACATTATATTGTACAATTCTTCCTGGCCCAAAAGAATACATAAAAGAAGGAAAAAGGGAGGAAAGGAAGGAGGGAGGGAGGGAGGGAGGGAAGAAATGGGATTGAGTTTTAGAGAACTGAAGGTACACATGTGTTCTGGATGTCAGAGAGTATGGAGCAAAAGTAGGGAGAGAAGTGAGTGTTCGAAAAGGAAAGAAAAATCTTAGGGAGGTAGGGATGAAGCTGTTGGGTTACAGATAAGGGGACAAACCAAGAATTAAGGTCGCTTAAATGTAAGTGTGGAGCCAACATGGGAATCCAGGTCTGTCTGACTGAGGGCATATGCGTGTTCTGTACCACACTGCTTTTAACATCATGAAAGGATAGCACTAGAAAGTCCCCCAGTACCTGCATAGCAAACCCAACTCCCTCGTCCACAGGGGAGCAAACTCCCAGAGAAGTGGAGCGACTTGCCCACAGTTGCAAAGCTGGTTGGTGGCAGAACCAGAACAAGAAACCAGAAGAAAGTTGTGTGTCTACAGCCCAGTCATACTACCTGAATTTTCCCATCTATCCTTCCAGGTCTGGAGTTAAGGCCTTACTTTTGTGCCTTGGGTGGCTCCTTCCGTCCACAGCCTCTTGCTCTTCTGTTGGAAGGAGTAAGGACTCTAAGGGCATATCAGAGTGTTGCCATGGTGACTGCAGCCTAAGGCCTTTGGAGGTTCGTGGTACCCAGATACCTTTAGCCTTTACACAGAAGATGTTTTGCAGGAAGTACCAGATTTGTAAAGATATTCAAAGTCTAATTGATGGTCTCTAGAAAACAGCAAGAAATTGGAGGCAGGATGCTGTAATTAAAAAACATTGAGCTGATAGAGTCATCAGGAAACTGGCAAGTTGATCCCTCTATCTCCAGCTTAGATGGAAACATGTCTACTCTGTGTTTAAAGCTTCTCTGGGGAGAAAGTTTAATCTTTTTTCTTTCACTTGTTATAGCAACTGATTATTTTTGCTAGAACCAATCCCAGAAGATGTGAGGATACTCTTACCTCTTAGTAGTCCTCTTATGCTTCCTGGAAAGTGGTCTTCCTTCCCCCACCTTCACACTCCCAAGCCCTGAACTGGGTCCCTGTCATCTCCCAGGACCCAGACGTCATTTACTGGCAGAGAGAGGTAGAGAAGGAAGCAGATTAGACTGCTATTCCTAGCCCTGCTAATAGATACAACCTTGGGAAAGTTCTTTCACCTTTTCCTCATGTCAGAAATCAGTAGACAGGATGACCTCTAAAACACTTCCTACTCCAAAAATCTAATCCTCTATTTTGCCTGAGGGCTAAACTTCTAAGACTTATTTCTTCCTAAGGGCATTTTAATTTTCATACAAAATATAATGGCAAAAAGATCTCTTTTATATGCAAGAGAACAGACTTACATGGTGAAATTACAAACATTGGAGGTGATTTTTGGGGGCAGGACAACATGTAGGCGATGTATTCCAACCACTCGTAAGGTAGCTCTGCCCATCATGACCACTATTTTCGTATTTGTGAAAAGAAGCCAGGAACCGGATCTGAACTATTCCTGATATCCAGTATTTGAAGCAATCTTCATTTCTGTTTTTGGCTATGGATGCACGAGTATGCATTATATTATCAGCAGCAGGTATTAAATGTATTATTTAGTGTTAGAGGTATTAGTCTCGAACATTAGGGCAGATTAGCATTTGATATATTAGTTCTTTGGGGTTACAATTGATGCTTGAATTTCCGATTGTTATATCTAGTAACTGAATTGTGATTTGGCTCTTAATTCCACGATGAGTTCACCAACATTGACAAACCTAGTACTAATTAATTAATGACAATTCTTGATTTGCAACCATGTCTGAGAAAAGATAACACATCTTCTGATTATTATAGACTCTTAAGGCAATCATTTGGGGACAGCCTTTCCTTATGGCATTTCTCAGCCTAGCTTTCTGAGAAACTCATGCTGAATTCATGGTTTCAAGCTTTTAAAAGCCTCTTAAGAAATCCTGCCCATCCTTTACCACCCCCCCCTCGACTTCCTCCACCTGCCTTGTGGAAGCCAAGTCTTTGGTCTGCTGCTTTGATCCAAGCTCTTCTACACCAGATACCCCATCACTGCCTTGGAACGGAGGAGTCAGACATCTGTCACAGATATCAGGTAAGTAGGTCAAATATAAACATGTCTACTACTGTAATTAATTATTAATGTCTTTTAGACCCTCTATCAATATGGTGCTTGCTTCTGGGCTCAGAAGGGCACTCCTAAATATTTACCAATGTGTAATAGTACTTTTAGATGGAGTTGATACACTCAGCTTCATGGTTTAAACCTTCCAGCAGGCAAGCAGTGGAAATCTTTGTAACTAGATGAATATATTTCTAAAACCATATCATAGTATAGCATCTTCCCAGAGCCTTCCTAAGACAAGGAGTCTGAGGTAAGGAGATGCAGCATCCTTCCTAATAACTCTATAGGTGGGCTTTTCCCCCCCGTCCGCTCTCTGATTCAGAGACTGACAGCTGAGGTTTCCCACCCCTCAGCTGTGGGGCTGGCTTAGGTGGGATGTGCACCCTCATGTACTGACTCAGTTCCCACTGGGACAATTACCTTCATGCTACAGAGCATGCAACTGCTGATTCTGTGCACAACGCTTTCTCAATTGCTCTCCTCCCCACTCTGAATATTGCCGTGCACGGTGTGCCTTTAATTTGTGGGTGAAAGCCTCTGCCCACCCACTCCTACAGCATATAGATATGCACACTCTGAATGCTACAATCGGACTCTCCTATCTGCCTTACACCTCTCAAACCCCATCCTGGGAAGGTA